GAAACGGTAGACCTGGCGGCCGACCCTGCCCCAAAGCTTGGGAGGCAGTCGGAGCCTCCAAGAGCCATCCTTGCCGTCGAAGACGACGACGCTCCTGCCAATCCCATCTCCCTAGCCTGTCCATCAAAGACGGTTCAATTTGTGAACCACATGATCCTCGGTTTGTAAATGGAGCTGTCAGAGATCGAGGAGCTGCTGAAGAGGCTCCTTCGGGAGGAAGCCGGGTGTGCCTTCCATCTCCAGGCATCGGTACATTTATCAAATTTCATGCATTGTTACCGTTTGCTTTCACACTTGTCCTGATATTTTTCTTCATTTTCTAGGCTTCGATGGACATGTGACTGTGCGTGAAGCGGGCCATCAACGCTGCCGAACGGGCTAAGAAGACGGCCGTGCCAAGGTTGCCAAGGCGGGCAAGGCTCTCCAGGACCACGCTAACCTCCTCAAGAACCTACAATCTGCCGAATGGTAGGTCAAAGCTTCTGAAGCCAAGTTGGGGGAGATGAGGACGGCTCTGGAGGCACTGATAATAGGCTTACAAACTAATTGTTTTAATTTGCCGAGGGCTAGATTAAAGATTAACTGCCGAAGGGTAGTAAAAGACTAACTTCCAAGTGAACTTTTAATCGGTAAGAAGCTGAGAGACTAATCCTTTTATTTGCCGATGGCTCAATAATAGATTAACTGCTGAAGGCTAGTAAGAGAATAATTCCCAAGTGACCTTCAATCGGTAAGACAATTAAGACTTAACCATTTAATTGTCGGGGGCTGAATAAAAGGTTAACTACAGAAGGTTAGTAGGAGACTACCTCCAACGTGAACTTTTAGTCGGTAGGAGAGTCGAGCTAAGCATTTTAATTTTCAAGTGCAGATAGTATTGGTAGGACCAAAACTCAGGCCTATTTATTGGCAAAGGCTAATAAAAGTTTATAAAGCGTGGGATGCTGCATGACTGATGATCTCTACCATATCTTTTTAATAAACAAAAAATAAATAAACACACATTCAGAGTTTGTTTTACAATTACAACTTGCTGTAGGCTAGGGGACTACTTGAAATAATACTTCAAATGTTTGACGTTCCAAGGGTGACCGAGGGTCTTGCCGTTGGAGTCTCTAAGCCGATAGGTTCCCGATCGGAGGATGCCGATGACCTCGTAAGGTCTTTCCTAGGAAGGTCCGAGGGTTCCTTCCGTGGGGATCTTGGTTGCCAGAGAAACTTTTCGCATAACCTAGTCACTGATTCGGAAAGAACGGGATCTGACTCTTGAGTCGTGATAGCGAGAGACGCGCTATTTGTATGATTCATTCCGAAGGTTGGCCTGCGCTCGGCGTTCTTCGATCAAGTCGAGGCTCAATGCAAGTGCCTCCTCATTCGCCTTTGGAGCAAAGGTTTCTGTTCGGTAAGAGGGCTCGCCGATCTCCACGGGACTACCGCTTCTGAACCGAAGGCGAGAGAGAAGGGGATTTCTCCGATTGCCGTTCGGTATGATGTCTATATGGCCCATAATGCTTCCAACAGCTTCTCTGGCCAAGCTCCTTTGGCTTTGTCAGGCTGTCGTTTCAGTAGCTCTTTGATGATTTTGTTTATTGCTTCGACTTGACCATTTGATTGGGGGTGAGCTGGCGAAGCGAAGAATAGATTGATCTTGAGGCGAGTGCAGAACTGCCTAAAGATTTCCGAATCAAATTGTCTGCCGTTATCGGTGATGATTGCATGAGGTATACCGAACCGACATCAAATGTTCGTCCAGATGAAGTCTTCCATTCTGGCTGCCGTTATGGTTGCTAGAGCTTCGGCCTCTACCCATTTGGTGAAGTAATCCACGGCAACAACGGCATACTTGATTTAACCCTTGCCTTGCTGTATCGAACCGATCAAGTCCAATCCCCATTGGGCGAAAGGCCATGGGCTTACGGTCAGTGACAGAGGCTCGACAGGGATGTGAGGCACATTACCGAACCGTTGGCATTTGTCGCACTTTTTCACTAGTGCATTCACATCTTGGTGCATGGTCAGCCAGTAATATCCTTGCCGAAAAGCCTTGTGTGCCAGCGATTGGGACCCCGAGTGGTCACCACATACGCCACCATGGATCTCCTGAAGGACGTCGTTCCCCTGTTCTGTGGTGAGGCATTTCAGATATGGCGTGGTAAAGCCTTCCTTGTACAGGACATCGTTGATGAATGTGTATCTTGTCAATCGGTATCGTAGGTTTCGGGCCTGAGATTTGTCTTGGGGCAGGGTACCGTTCGTTAAGTATGCGTAGATTAGGGACATCCAAGTGTTCTCGTACCGTACGACGCATACTTCGGAGGTTATCGTGCTTGGCTAGGCCAGGATTTCCACCGGCACCCTCCTCCCGATCCTATCATTGATTGCCGAGGCTAACCGTGCTAGCGCATCGACGTGACTATTTTCTGTCCTGGGGATCTGCCGAATCTCATAGGCCTGGATTTTTGAAGGAGTTGGTGGGCTGCCGATAGGTAGGCTGACATAGAGGCATCCCTGGCTGCGAAATCTGTCGTTATCTGATTCATTATGAGTTGTGAGTCACTGTGAATGCTGATTTGTTTTGCGCTCATGCTCTTGGCTAGCCGAAGGCCGGCCAAGAGAGCCTCATACTCTGCCTCGTTGTTGGAGGTTCTGAAGTTGAATCGAAGGGCATACTCGACCTTGACTCCATCTGTAGTAGTCAACACCAGACCAGCTCCACAACCTTGTTGATTTGCCGAGCCATCGACATGCAGAATCCATATAGGAATGGAAGGGTCGAGGCATTCGGCATTCTGCCTTTTTGGCTCCCCGGTATTTGAGTTTGAACTGGCCGCTTCCAGTGGTACCAAAGGTGTAAGCTCGAAGATGAAATCGGCTACAGCCTGACCCTTCTCTGCAGGCCTTAGCTTGAACTGTATCTCAAATTCTCCGAGCTCAATTGCCCATTTGATCAGTCAACCGGACGTTTTCAGTTTTTGTAGCACCTGCCGAAGAGGTTGGTTGGTCAATACTGTGATTTTATGCTCTTTGAAGTATGAGCGAAGTCTTCGAGCTGAGACCACGAGAGCCAATGCTAGCAGTTCCAAACGAGGGTACCGAATCTCTGCGTTCTATAGCGCTTTACTGACATAGAAGATCGGTAACTCTGCTTTCTCTGGTCTATGTATCAACACTGAGCTGACGGCAGTGCAAGATACCGAGAGATACAGAAACAGAACCTCTCCTGGGAGTGGCTTTGACAACAATGGTGCTCTGCTCATGTAGTTCTTTAGGTCTTGAAATGCCTTATCGCATTCGGCAGTCCATGTGATATGCTTTTTGCCCCCTTTCAAGGCTCTAAAGAATGGTACCCATTTATCGGTGGCCTTGGAGATGAAGCGCGTTAAGGTAGCGACGCGTTCGGTAAAGCTCTGGATGTCCTTCTGCGTCTTCGGCCTCTCCATGTCGATTATGGCCTTGATTTTTTAGGATTCACCTGATACCTCTCTGGCTGATCATGAACTCGAGGAACTTTCCTGAAGATACACCGAAGACGTATTTCGTCGGGTTAAGTCTCATTCGGAAGTCTTTCAGTATACCGAATATGAGAGCCAGATTGTATAGGTGCTCCTCTGCCGTCCGGCTTCTTACCAATATATCGTCGACATATACTTCCATGATGCTACCGATATGTTTGGTAAAGATTCGGTTGACGAGCCTTTGATATGTTGCCCCTGCATTCTTCAGGCCGAACGACATGACATTATAGTAGTACAGCCCCATGTCTGTAATGAACGTCATATGCTCGCTATCAGCAGGGTTCATAAATATCTGGTTGTATCTCGAGTAGGCGTCCATGAAGCTGAGCAGCTCGTGACCAGCAGTTGCGTCCACGAGCTGGTCGATCCTAGGCAACGGGAAGCTATCCTTCGGACAGGCCTTGTTCAAGTCAGTGTACTCTTGACACATTCGTCATCCGCCCTTGGACTTCCGAACCATTATTGAGTTGGCAAGCCAGATAGGGTACGTAGCTTCCCGGATAAAGTCGATGGTTTTTAGCTTGTCAACTTCGATATGCATAGCCTTATACCGTTCGACATCATATGAACGGCGCTTCTGCCTTACGAGTTTATACACGGGGGAGATGCTGAGCGAACGGCTGATGACCTCCAGGGAGATGTCTGGCATATCATCATAAGACCAGGCAAACACCTCCGAATGATGTCGTAAGAACTCAATGAATTGCGCTCGGAGGCATGGGGTAAGTGTGGTGCTGATTTTGACGCACCGATCGGGTTGCTCTTCATTCAGTATCACCGTTTCCAGTTCTTCGGCAGGTTGTGTTTGCGGTGTCTGATTCTCTTCCCTTAGGTCGTCAACAGACCTGCTGCCACTCAGTGCCCTTTAAACGGACATGGCTTCCATTGGCGGTTTGCAAGCTACGAACTTTAGTGCCACTGCATAGCATGTCCGCGCACTGAGCTGGTCTCCTCGGACATCGCCTGTACCGTTGCAAGTCGAAAACTTCATCAGCAACATGTGGGGGGATAGGTGCGCTTTAATTCTAGTGAGTGTCGTTCATCCAATAATGACGTTATATGCTGTTGGGCAATCTATAATGAGGAACTGGTCATAGGTCATTGTTTCCGGGTGGCAACGCCGAAGGTGATAGGTAGACTGATACTACCGACTGGCCTGACCAAATCCTCGAAAAAGCTAAGTAGGGGAGTTATCTGCCGATTGACTTGGCTATCGGCAATTCCCATTCCTCTGAAATCATCAGCAAAAATTACATTTATCGAGCTTCCAGTATCGATCAGTACCCGCCTTACATCGCAGTCGGCGATTTGAGCTCGGAAGATCATCGGGTCATCGTGGGGGTAAGTGATCCTTTCCTCCCCCTCTTCACGAAACATGATGGGCTCCCATCCTACGTTCAGAAACTTACGATGCTGATCGGCTTCTATGCTGAAAACTTGAGGATAGTGCGCGACACGTACATATTGCTTTACCGATCGGTTAGATGGTCCCTCTAGAGTGAGGCCTCCGCTGATGGTGCTGATCATGTTGATTTGTCGGTTCGCGTTCGGGACAGGTGCTTGCGGTGATCTAGCAATGTACTGATCCAGCTTTCCTTCCCGAATCAAGCGTTCAACGATCTTCCTCAAGCTTATGCATTCCTCAATATTGTGGCTGCTGTGCTTGTGGTATCGGCAGAATTTGCCGGTGTCCCGATTGTCCTGCAGATTGGGCTTTCGATGATTTGGCTTGGGTATTATCTCGTTCTCGTTCATCATGACAGCCTCATAAGTAGTATTCTGCAGGGTAAAGACTTCCTGAGTGCGGTCGTGATTGAGTAGGGGCGCGCGGTGGTCATTTCGATTGTATTTTCCTCGTCCTTTCTTTGAACTCCCCTGCCGATTATCACGGTCGTCTTTCCGTTTGTGCCCTGCCGAGGATTCGTTAGTTCTTCTAGCGGCATACGGTGATCCTTGCCTGGGATAGCCTTTCAGTGCTAGTTCCTCCTGCCAAGCCGAAGGCCTGGACTTGAAGTTGAAATACTCAGCCTTAGCGTGAATTACCACTTGCTTCATCAGTTCGTCATAGGTGCGCCAGTTGCTACTGTGCACGAGGTACCAAAAATGTGAGGACCGAAGGCCAATCTTGAAGGCACCGTAGGCTGCCCTGTCGTCCGTTTCCGGACACCTCGAGTATTCATGGCTGAAACGTGCAGCGTATTCCCGTAGAGGCTCATCTTCTCTCTGTCGAATCGTGTACAGATCATCAGCAGAGTACAGACGGTCCGTCTGGATCATAAAGTGATTAAGGAAAATCTGTTTCAGTTCATCAAAGGAGTCTACCGTTCCCGGCTCCAGACGATAGAACCAATTCAATGCGGCTTTGGTAAGGGAGGATGGGAACAGCAGGCATTGCTCCTCGTCGCTGAGTCCCTTGCACCCTATTACCGATTAGAAGGAATGGAGATGTGTTAGAGGGTCTTCGACACCCGTGTAGAACGGTATGCGGAGTGGCTGTATATCCCTATCCTGCCGTGAGCACTTTATAAGTTCGGTGAATGGTCCGGGCCGAAGCTTACCCCAGTCTAGTTCTTGGGAGCGGGTCCTATCGTTTTCCATCTTCTGAATCCTCTAGAAGAGTAGACAAATAGCGGGGTCTCGGCTCAGGACGTCCTCGAAACCGTAGTCTTCGGAAGATCTCCGCAGGCTTGAAGGCTTTGCATCAGATAATCACGTGGGAGTTGCCGAACGGTAGGTTGATTTGGTGGTTTTGGAAGGGACATACTCGTTGGCGGATTCTACTTCTGATTCCAAACCCCGTACCTTCCGAATGGGCGACTTGCTTCCCAGAGCCCTCATTCGCGAGTCTCTCAACCTAGCATTGATCCTGATTGGAGACCTCTGCCTTTCGGCTTCATTATCGTTGATCCGATGGCAACAGTCGGTGTAAAATTTCTTCTGCAAGTGTGGCTGGTCCCGAGGTGCCGGAACTACCAACTGCTTGGAGGGTGCAGACATTGCCTTTTTCCCCTTCTTACCCTTCTTCTGCCGATTAGGAGTCTACAGACTCTGGGAAGATTCGGTAGTTTGGATATTCTATGTTTGCTGCTGATTCAGCAGTTGCTGAGTTTCGTCCACTTTAGACGAGAGAAGATTGTTATGTTCTTGGATTTTAGCCATGTCCTTCCCGAGAGAGGTGATTTGGGCCAAAAGTTCTGCTTCGGCAGTGGTTTGAATCACGGGTGCATTACCGAAAGGAGTGCAAGGGGGCAGCGCAAGGCTTGCTCTGCTTTGCCTTCTGAACGGTAGCCCTTCTTCTGATAAGAACGTTGGTACTGAAGTGGTCCCTATGTGTTCCGGGGATTATGGGTTGATTTTTATTGCTTCCCACAGACGGCGCCAAACTGTTGACGCAGAAAAATGGTTTGGTACTTTCCCGCTCAACTTAGTGATGTAAGGGCCTTCGATATGCTCGTGGCCTCGGTAGAGCTTGTGATCTGCAAGATAACAAACGCTTGGTAAGACCTAGAGCACCGGTGTGGTACTGACCGAAGGCTCTCTGATACTTAAGTAAGTATGAATTTAGTAAGCTTAAACTGATAGATCAATATGCTGTATGCCGTAAGTTCTGATTACCTCCATTTTGGGGAATTGTGCTCCTTTTATAAGCCTTGGAAGGTGTGCTTGTTGTGTAGATTTGCGATGTAGGACTGTAGACATCGATTGTGGGCCTGCCACGTGTCCTCGAGAAGGAGGTTGCCCTAAGCGAGGAATCGGTAGGCTGGGTGCCGAAAGCCACCATGGTTGGGCACAATCTTTGTCCACTTGTCTGGCCCTCATTGGCTGTTCATTTTGAGTATAAACACTTATAATTATGAATCCTTGTACATTTTCAAAGAGTTGTGCTTCTAAGAATCATAAATAACAAAGGATGATTTGAAGAACTAAAAAAAGACCTTTCACTTTTTTGTGGTTTGAAATGAAAAGAGATGCAAGAAGGTTGGTCTGTTTTACTTTGGCCTATGTTAGACTTGGATATATGCATCTGATCCTGCCCACGCATGACAGAACATAGTACGTAGTTACTATAATGTGTGGTTGCGGTGCACGGTTCCATTTATATATCTCTAAGGAATGACTGGCAATGAATGGCCGACTGAGGCCTATATATACAACACTATTGCTCCAAGCCTTTGTATGAGACAGTCAGACAGGAAGAAATGGAGGCGATGCAAATACTTCACATGAACAAAGGGGTTGGCGAGACTAGTTATGCTCAAAACTCCAAAGTTCAGGTTCAAATTAATATTATTCATCATGCTTTTCTTCATTTAATAACTATGTTCTAATTCAACATGTTAATTAATTTCATGTATACATATATATGTGTATATTATCTTTTTATTATTAATTTATTATTATTTTGTAGAGCTAAATAATTTCCATTGCAAAGTAAATCATTCATGACGTCATACAAGAAATCTTACGCTCAAATAACATAGAGAGCATGGGCATAGCAGATTTGGGCTGCTCATCTGGACCCAACACCTTGGCCTCTAGCTGTCAGCAACAACAAAGATCAGAGTCACTACTACGTTTCACCATTTGCGCGACGAAGAATAAGTCATCGCGCAAAACATACTGGCGCGACGAAAGAACATATTCGTCGCGCAATCCACTGAAAATTTGCCCGACCAAATTTTTCGTCGCACGAAATGTCTTTGCGCGACCAAACAAATGGTCACCGCGCAAATAGAGTTAAAAAAAGCGGGGGGAATTTTTTTGGCGCGAAACATTTGCGCGACGAGAAATATCGTCGCTTAAGACAACCTTGCGCGACGGAACATTAGTTCGTCGCGCAAAAACGGACAGAACCCAGTGGGTCCCTTTATTTGGAGGTAAAAACTTGTGCGATTAAATTCTTCGTCGCAAAAGACAGCTTAGCGCGATGGGAAGATTTTTCGTCGCGTAAGAGAACGAGGGATATTTTATTTTTGGCGCCAAAATTACCTAGTTGGGATATTTTTTTTGCGCGACGTACATACTATTCGTCGCGTAAAGTTCCAAGTTTGCACGACGAATACCTTGTTTTGCGTGACGAAATTTTGTTTTTGCGCAACGAAAAATACCAGCGTCGCGCAAAAGTTAGATGTCGGCAGGTGATTGCGCGACGAAAAAAAGGGTTTGCGCGACGGACGATTTGGTTTTTTGCGACGGAAGTTTGCGCGACGAACTTATATATTCGTCGC